GTATCTTGGATTCTATAGTTTACTGTTACTTTGGGTTAGAGTTGAATTAGAGTAGATTTAAGGTAGATTAGTAGTTGCATGAAATAGCATGACATAATCGTTGTATCATGCTATGCAAGTATAATAAATTAATCATATAATTAATTATTATATATCATGTAATAAATTTTATTTATTAATTGCCGTAAATCATGTAATAGCTTAGTGATTATATCGATCATGTCAATCACGTGATATAAGGGGTGCACCATGGTGCAGGTGCACCAAAAAATAAAATCCTTAAATAAAATATGTTTTACTAATCAAAATAACTCTAGTTTTATAGAACCAAATTAGCAATTGTCTTAATAAAATTTTAAGAAATAGCCTCTAGAACTAGTATTGTATATGAACAAATATTCAAGCAAATTATTGGACATGAACGATCTTGAACAATGTCCAATATCCAAGTCTATATAATTATTTTGCGGCTAATAATGTACATGAACAAATGTTCAAGCCAATATCTATAAGCATGGATATGGACAATATCCAACGTCCAAGTATATGTGATTATAGAAACTTCTGATTGGCTAAAATTTATACTACAAATTAAGCTATCGCTATTAAGCAAGATTATACAAAATCGCCCATATATTTTATAAATGCTTTTAACAATCATAATTTTCTTTATATTGTTTCAAGGGCCATTATCATTATACTTATGATGCTTTTTTTTTTTGATATTGTTCTTTAAAAATACATATGCTTTTTTTTTCTTTTTAAAGCTAATATCTTTCTTATACGTAAAAGATACTATTGATTTTTTTTTTTACTATGGTGTCTCTTTTTTTTTTCTTTGCGCATTAAGCTAATGTTTATTTTTTTCTTTTTAAAGCTAATATCTTTCTTGTAAAAGATACCATTGATTTTTTACTATAATATCTTTTTTTTTTTTCTTGCGTATTAAGCTAGTGCTTATTTTTTATTCTTTGGCGCTTCAAAAGTTGATACTTTTTTTTTTTTTAAAAATTTCAAAAGCTAATGCATATTTTTTTCTTTAATAATGTAATTCATTAGAATCTAAAGCAAATTTTGGCACAATCCATTTTTGCGTTTCATATATTTGGCAGTACTTTTATTTGTATTTGCCTTTAAATAATCCTACATGTGCTTGTTTTATTTAAACACTATTTTCTGTGCTGTAATTTGATAATTCATTACATATCTTTTTTTCATATTTGGATACCTCATTACGGCTCTAGTCAAGCTTTATTATGCTATCTTTACCATCTATACTAGATAAATTTATTATTAAAAGCAATGAAAAAATCAACAATTTTAATTCAAAAGTTTACTGCAAGCTATGCAGAAACAAATTAGGCGAAGTAGAAGGTAGCAAATTTTGGTTTCCTAATAAAAAAGACCAGATAGTTTCGCATTTTAAAAAGTGTGCCTATTTTTTCACTGAAACCACACCTGAAGAACGAGAAAAGATATTTAATCTAGTTAAGGTTCTTTCAAAAGGTATTATTTATTCTTCTTTATTTATCCATTCTTCATTTATTTATTTATTCATTTACTCATTTATTCATTTATTCACTTATTTATTTATTCATTTATTTACTTATTTATTTATTTATTCGTTTATTCATTCATATATT